TTTTTCAAACCTAGATAACCAAAAGCACCCTGTATATACCATCAACTACATGGACATTTCGAATGAAAAATAAAATCCCAACTTATTTTATTAGCTGAAATCTAGCATAATATGAAAGAAAGAAAGACCTAATGTTTTACGAAACACCCTGTATTCAAATAAAATTCAATTCCTGTTATTAGCTGAGAATCAGGCAAAATATTAAACTGAAAAATCTCAATGTTGCACGAAACACCCTGTATTTGAATAAAATTCTATTTCAGAGTTATACTTTTTTTTCGTAAGCTAAATTATACCGAAATATAAAACTGAAAATCCAAATGTTTTACGAAACACCATGTATTTGAATAAAATCCTAATTCAGATTTTTATACTTTTTCGTTAGCTGAAATTTAGAAAAATATAAAAAAATCCTAATGTTTTATGACACACCCTGTATTTGAATAAAATTCAATTTCCGTTGTTAGCTGAAAATCTAGCAAAATATTGAACTGAAAAAATCTCAATGTTTCACGAAACCCTGTATTTGAATAGAATCCTATTTCAGATTTATACTTGCTTCGTCAGCTGAAAACTAACAAGATTTAAAAAAATCCTATAATGCTCTACAGAATACCTTGTATTTGAATAAAATTCAATTTCTGTTATTAGCGGAATTTTAGAGAATATAAAAAATAAATTCCAAATGTTTCACGAGAACGCCCTGTACATCAAGTTATTATTATACACAGTTTTCAAAATGTTTCGCTTATTATTGTTGATGTAAACGTTTCTCTTGTTGTCCCCAAAATTCAAGGTAAGTATTTTAAAAAGTGCCCAACTCAGTTCAATTTGATAATTTTTCTCAGACATGTACCTAAGCACAATAATTTTTAAGAATCAAATGAAATCGTTGCTAAGAAACAATGGTTTAATAACTATAGTTTTTCGTGTCTATTCAAATAATACCGAACTATCCAAGACTGACGCCTTTTTCGGTTGATAAGCAGAAAACTAAGCAACTTACCAATTTCATTGAAAAACAGCTATATCCAGAAATGAACGAGTAGCATCCATCTATACAGTGAGGGTTGCTCCATTATCTAGTTTCCCATACACTATTCACACAAACGGCACAAATTTTGGCAAAACACACTAGAACATATGTCCTACACGAATGAAAATTGAAATAATACTCTTTACCCTTATGATAGAAAGAAATATTGTTATTCGAACTTTAATCACACAGGAAATATGATGATGGCGAGAAACAGGAAATCGTAATCTCAGGCTCCATTGCCTGTTAAACTATTTAATAAATGAACGCTTTTATTTTTATTATTCTAATCTACTCTGAACTGAAAATATCAATGTTATACAAGATGGCTCAACGAGAAATATCTTGTTTCCGTTTTTTCTGAGGCTCTTCTATGTAAATGATATTCCTAGAAGTGTTTGATCGATTATCGAAAGATATGTAGACATTAACATATTAACATGGCAGATATCGTGAAATCATTGGTATATATATTATATATGCTGTACGAGTTGTACCATCTTCGCGACGAGATTTGGTTGTTATACAAGGTACTTTTTTTTGTTTGCCAATAATATAGAATGTGTAATACCCTGTATAATAGCTTTATATCGGATTTCTGAAGCGTGACATAACCTCAAAGAGCTTTGTCTAGTATTGGTATGTTCGCGGTATTTCGCTATAGGCTTCAATTTCGGCTTCAACAAGGTATTTCTTGCAATATTTTTACACCATTCTAGCTGTATGGAAAGTCTACCCGCGAGTCCTCCTGTATCTATAACTCAAACACCCTACATATCGACCCTGTTATTGACGCATTTTGTTATTCACATTCAAAAAAGTACCTCTAGATCTAGGGAATAATCTGATCTACTTTCCGCCGTGCATCGTGTAATTTCAGTAGAGTCTAGGGAAAACGGACTTGAAATTTACCGGTGAAGCGATGAATCATAGACCAAAAGTTTCGCGTGATATCTGTGCTATTTTGAATCGATCGCCATTTTGTTTCAATAACCATTTTGATCAAAATTGGTTGTCATCTGTCATACGTCATACGTTAGTAATCTAATTCGGAGGGGCTACTCATGAGTCCCTGTGTTTTTTTTGTCACTATTCATCTCATCCACCCTGTATATATCCATTATTGAACTACTAGGTGGGGAATGTATCCTTCTGGGTTCACAGTGTATATTACCATTCATTTTGTTATTGTGGATGTGTTATTTTCAATCTTATCATCAACTAGCGGGTAGTCAGCTCGTCGTCGTACGTCATATGTCGATACGCCATTGCCAAACGACGAAATGCAGATTACGGAGCACAATATCCGATTTCTTCAAACGGCTGGCAACGTCGACATGCTAGCGTTCTGCCGCTCTGCAGAGTCTTGTCGCTTATCAAAAATATAATTTTATTTAATAAATAAATCTAGAACCTATAGCTTTGTTCGCCGGTCCCATTTGAATACGATTTTCATAGTGGCATTTTCATGGGCGCCTGAATACCACAGTACGTATATACGTTGCTCTATAATGCAAGGGTCTCGAGTTCAATCCCTACAAGCAAACTCGTACACAAATTCGTCTAGTGGTGTGGCGCCATGGTAGCGCTTTGGGCTCGCAGTCCGGTGGCCGGGGTTCGATTCCTCGCTCGCACAGCCCAATTTTTTTTATTCATTATATTTACATCCAATATTTGAATTTCGCGCCGCTCGTGGGACCGCGAGTAGCTAGCCGAGTCAAGCCGGCCTGTGATTGGCTAGCCGAGTCACGTAGTTTGGAGAAAAGTGGAGTGGAGGGGGTGAGCCATCCTCCGGCGATTCCTACTCTTTTGTATGTTCCTTGTTGAGTGTGATATAACTCTCTTAATCTGTTTATTTCTTGTTCATCGTTTTGACGTCTTCTTGCTCTTTGATAGGCTTTTCTGCGTTTATGAGATTCATATTTTGCCCTTCCGATTTCATCTGTCCACCATGGGGCATATCTATTTGGTTTGTGCACTATTTTCCCTAGCCTTTCTGTGGCAGATGTAAGACAGTTAGTTAGCATTTCTATAAATTCATCTACTTCTCTCTTGTTATGTAAAGGTTTTTGATTAATCTGTTCATAAAGTGCTAATATTATGACCTCCAATTCTTCTGAATTTATTCTTTTATCCGAGTACTCTGGATGAGACTCAAATTGTGCTTCCTGCAATACTTGTCTTCCTGAACTGATTTGAAGTTCGATTAGTCTATGATCGCTAGTGATAGCTTCCTCTCTTATCTCCCACATTGCAATGTATGGGATAAGATTGTTTGTTATTAAGTCAAGGTCAATCCTACTTTCTCTATTGGCAGTGGAGATGGTAGAAGGAGTGCCTGCTTCTTTAACTATATTTAAGTCAAATAAATGCTGAAAGCTCAAAGTCATATCCACACAGTGTTCATAAACTGAACAACGATGGTAGATTTCGGGAGAAAAACAACTACTTCCCTGGCTAATGCCACGCAGGATATTGAATTACATCCTCCCGAAATCTATGCATCGACTCGTATAAACGAATACTGATACAAGTGATTCTTTCTTGAATGCCTATTGATTTCGATTAAGCCAGGCCGCTAGACAACCACAGATTGGTTTCGAGCTCTTTGACTCTCATCAGTGCAGTGTAGTCTCCAGCCAGCAGTCCTAAGACCGCCGACTCAGCGAAGCCTAGCCAAACAAAAATCAAGTTGGCATTTTATCCACCCCGAGGCGTCTTTCATCGACAAAATGAAAGTAACGCCATCTGAGTAGAACAGAGGAAAGAATCACTCCAAAACTGAAATTCCCATACGGAAGTGGCTGGTTGCCCGACTGGCGTAATTTCAACTACGAAATAGCCACAATGCTCAAAGTTGAATGATATGTTAAATAAATGCAAAAAGCTCAAAGTCATATCCACACAGTGTTCATAAACTGAACAACAATGGTAGATTGTTTAGTTTAGTGTAGATTTCGGGAGGATGTAATTCAATATCCTGCGTGGCATTAGCCAGGGAAGTAGTTGTTTTTCTCCCGAAATCTACCATTGTTGTTCAGTTTATGAACACTGTGTGGATATGACTTTGAGCTTTTTGCATTTATTTAACATATCATTCCACTTTGAGCATTGTGGCTATTTGGTAGTTTATATTTAAGTCATTGTTATTTATAAATTCTTCTAATTTTCTACCTCTGGCATCAATAAGATGGTCATGCCACATTTCTGATCTTGCATTGAAATCACCTCCAATTAGTATTTTATTAGGTTCATTCTCTATGGGAATGTCTTGTATTATATTCAATTCCCCTAATATCTCATGATTTGGTTGACAGTAAATGTTAACCATCACTATTTCCTGTCTAGCTGTTTTGATTCGTACTGCAACTAAATGGGGTAATTCGTATTGTTTTAGACTTCAAATCAAATCAAATCAAATCAAATCAAATCAAATCAAATCAAATCAAATCAAATCAAATCAAATCAAATCAAATCAAATCAAATCAAATCAAATCAAATCAAATCAAATCAAATCAAATCAAATCAAATCAAATCAAATCAAATCAAATCAAATCAAATCAAATCAAATCAAATCAAATCAAAATGTACTTTATTGCCTGAAGAATATAAATTCTTATTGACAAAGCGTTTGAGAACTTAGGTACTAATCACATGAGTAAATTTACATAGCGGCCGAGGTCACACGACATAGTCTTATCAGTATCCTGAATATAAACTTATGGCATCAATTTCTTCATTAAATATAATAGTGACGGCTGTTGGCCTCTCGGTGATCCTATGTGCCAGTCGGTATTGCGACATACCCGGGACAAAATGGTTACCTCTATTGTTAATTCTGGTATATGGCTCCTGCGCCAGGACAATGTCAAATTTATTTATTTCTGCGTATTGTCGTAGCTCCGTTGTGGCAGTTAATGACCTTTGTAAGTTAATTTGGCCTATCCTAATATTACCATTGTTATTATTGGCCATAATCTGTATTGTTAATATGAGCCTGAAGTCTTCGATTATAGGTGACACATTTGTTGTCACAAGCTTCATGGAAGCATTCTTCTTCATTAACTTTAGCTCTTATGCAATTAATACAACTAGGCCTGCCATTATTTGTACAGTCTTTAGTGTCATGTTCACCTGTGCATCTTGAACATGCTGCCTTGTTTTTGCAAACGGATGCCATGTGCCCAAATCCCTGGCACTTGAAGCATCTAAGAATCCTAACGTGGTCTCTAACAGGGCAAGCACTCCAGCCTAAGTACAACTTTTTCCTGTTTAAAATTATATTTCTAATGTTTGGTTTGCATTCAATTACCCAAGTACACGTGGTACTATTTCTATCCCCAAATTTGTATTTGGAGATCACCTCATCGGGATCGTTTTCTGGTAAATCTAGGTCGTCGTTAATTCTGGCAGCAACTCTATTGGGTCTCCAATCACTAGGGACGCCAATTACGGCTATTCTTGGTAACATTTCTTGTTGGACAGATGCCTTTAAGCCTACTTTTTCGAGTTCTTCCAAATTGTAATTTGTGTTTGCTGCCAGTACTTTAACCCGAGAGTGGTCGCGCTTCGGTCTTTCAGACCGACGGCTGATATCGTGATAGAAACAAGTTTCCCAAAATGAACTAAAGTGGCTTTTATTATATCATTCATTGGATGATATGTATAGAACTATATAGTAATGAACAAAAATTTATATTCGAACTTACAAGGATAATAAATCAGGAATAGTTAACTAAGTATACTAGGTAGGACTAACTAATCTTGCTGCATACTGTCATTTCCTGCACAATGAACGCATTTTGATGAATTTTCTCTGATGAACAGTATGTGCAACTCCCTTGAACGTTTTGTGATCTTGCTAGTTGTTGTCTATCAGAATCGTTCTCTGAGCCAGCCGATTTTTCTGTGTCAGTTGAATGAGCACTTTCTTCGAGTATATCATCTCCTTGATCTATCTCAGAATCACTTTCTCCACCTACAAAAGGCTCCTCATCTGAATCGACTTTCCCGTAGAGCCTCTAGAGCCTTCTAACTTCTTTTTCATATGCACCAGCCATTGTAGATCTATAGATTCATGTAGTAATACCAAGAAATTTATGTGGAAATAAAACGGCACACTACCGGTCGCTACTCGGTCGAATAGACGGATTGCACACCCAGCCGCACTACAGTGTCTAAATAGCTCGACTGACGAATTTAGGCTTGCCTATGGTGAATCAGGAAGGTACTGAAGAGGAGGTACGCAAAGAATGTCATGTAACAATAATAGAACATAACTCGGTAATCGTCGGTCGAAAAGACCGACGCGCGACCATGTAACATGAAAATTGACCATTTTCATTTTACAGGGTATATATAGTCTAAAATCTATAAATAAAGATAAAACTTACCAGCATAAAGATACCAGCCCATTAATGTTGATCTTTATCGTAATTAGTCAATGGGATGGTATCCTCACAATGATGGCGCTCACTCTGTATAATACCCTTTTATTCAGTTAAAAATACAATAGTAAATAGTATTCATCTCAATATTTCATCCATTCTATGTAGCATCTACAGGTGATGGGCTGGAAATCTTGAAGGCACCTAAAAGTAAACAAACATTAATGAATTGATGAATATATAGAAATTTGAATGAATTTACCTGAATGGAAAGTATCCAACCAGTGACTTAGGAGTCCTAACATCCCTGAAGTAATTTGAAGATTCATTGAATGTAACCCTGGAATAAATAAAAGAATTCAACAAGTTTATCAAGTTGAGGTCGAAGTATAGTTAATACATTTCAGCTCAAAAACTTTCAAAGTAAATAAATAACATGCTAGGTTACCTATTGATACATACCTCGTTAATTATAGGTTCAAAAATAAATATTTTCTGATAAAATGGGAATTTCAAGATTTTCCTTGATAGGTTATGTTGCAATTATGTCACTGATGTCAGTGGCGAATTTGACACTTGTGTTGCCTCCTTACAGTAGTTTCATATTTTTCTTCGTTGGAATTTTTGTCACGTTGAGACAACGGCCTTGTGTCGATTTTGGATGAAGTGAGACGAAGCCGAATTTAGGTTAATGGTTACCGTAGTTCCGTTTCAGTACCCGAACTCCGGTAGATTTGTGTCGTCGGTTGAGGGTCAGGAAAATTAATTAATTGTTTCCCGCTAGAATTCGAAAATTTCTATGCTGGTAGGACTGGTGGTCCAAAAGTCGTCGAAGTTCTTCAACCAATCAGGAATCTGGGAGCAGTCACATGGTACAGGATTTACATGAAATGTGTTTTTCATGTCCATTCCACAGGTGTGCAGAATCCAAAATAATGTTTGTAAAGGGGGAATTTTAGTTTTTTTATATGGTTTTGTGTCCTCTGAAAAGAGAGGTATACACCTTCCGGCTGAGTTCGCCGCCATCAGCCATCATTTCTTGCGAGCCGTTCGTCCAGGATCGTCGACGAAAATGAGGCATTTCATTTTGGGAAGTTCAAGTGAGCAGGCCATCCTGTTAGGAGGTGAGTTTTTATTCTTTGGATATTAGGGCTCATTCGCATCTTAGAAACCTTTTCCTGTATTGAAAGTGAATCTTTCTTTCTGAAGATTTGTGGGCCTGTTTTCGAGAGAGGCTTTTATGGAGGTCGCCAATGACCACGCCGGCTTGTGATCGACTCGAGACAGCTGACCAGGCGAGTTTAGCTGCATGGCTCGAGATCCTTCCTGGATATCCCAATAAGATTTTCTTCGGGGGCTCCAATTCCCTTCAACCGACTTGTAGCAGCCCTGGCCATCGTGAAGGCAGGGACACTGCTGGCTTCAACAGTCTACCAGGTCCAGGACTTCATCCCAAGCAGCTTTGTCTGGTCCAGTTTTGGGTATCTGCAGGGGACACTCACCTGAAAGGCCGTATGTCATCCTCTACCTGGGTCCTGAGCCACTAGGCCCCACTTCCTGAGCCAATAGACCCCACATCGTGTGGGTAATCACCTGTAACCCATTTTGGTTACCATTGCCAACAAGTAAGAATTTTCCATAAAGAAACTTCCAGAAAGACCACCAGTAAATGTGATTTTGTTTCATGCAGTCTTGCATTATTTATTTTTTTTACCTTATAAGCATATATTTTTGAAGAGAAGGAGCTATGTAAAGCTTCCATATGGGCCCATGTTGGAATTAGGGGTATATTAGTAGGGTATAAAGCATATTTGAGTTGAAGATTTTTAATATTATGTATTTAACTTTTAAGTTGAAAAGATATGCACATGCAGGAATATCTTCAGGTTAGATTGGTGCATTTTTGGAAAGTTGTGAATTTTTCAGTATAACATCTCAATTAAATTCCACATGAGACCACAAGTTGTGTTTTTATTCTACACTTTATATTACAGGTACAGCTTATTTTAACAATCAAAAGTTAGAACATGAAAGCAAAGTGTTAACTTTACCATCTGATACATAATTTCTAAGTTTTCACTCTTAATATAAACTTAGTGGCGCTCACAGGGCCACCTAACAAAATCCGAACACAAGCCATTTGTTCACCAGACACAAGAGCTGCCGGAGCAAAATTGTGAAACTTGCTTTTCTGAATTTTATTTTAGGCAATGAAATAAAAATCAGTAAAGTTTGTATCAACCATTCTCTCCCGTTAGTGGGAAAGCATTCCTCGACTTTGAGTCCAAGCTCGTAAGGATTTAGTTTATTAAGAGCTTTCATAGTGTCTTCACTTGTTTTGAGTACCATATTATTTTCGAGTGGCTCTATTGATATGAAATCATTTCTTGATGGTTCTACTGTCTTTCCTCTTGTTATTGGGACCTGAATAGTAGGAGAAGCTTCTTCAGTTATGGAGGCGTAACTCTGCATAGTAGGAACTTCTCTATCTAGGTTATTGTTAATTTTTTGTTCAATAATGTCGAGTTTTTCTTCAACTCTATTCGATGTCTCAATTTGTCCAAGGTGAAGTATTATCTTAGTGAAAGCTTCTGTCATTTTTTCTAGGTTGCTAGTAGTTATATATTTTTTGCTAACTGATTCTTCAGATGTGAGTAAGTTGTTTATGATAGCTTCTTTGGCTTCAGAAAATTGCTGGATGACACTGTACGCCAGGGTGGTGGCTGTGCCTCCAATGAAATCGGCACTTCTTTCTAAGAAATGTTCATTTTGTTGCGAGCGTGGCCTGCTCACTGGCTCTTCCCTGGTGTTAGATTGGACACCTTCATTATAGTCACTAAGGCTTTCGACTTCCTTGTCAACAGCTGTAGTTGTGCTACCTTGTTCATCAGTTGGCTCTTCCTGATCGAAGCTATTGGATTCTACATTTAAAATTAATTCTTGAGAATTTTTGATTTGGTTTGAGTTAGTTGGTTTCATATTTTCCATATTTCGTTCCACGAGAAGCTAGGGATATTTGGTCAGTCTCCACAGAGCCCTGCATGTGGAGATAAGGCTATTAATTCAAACTTGCGCCACTGGTCCGAATTATACGTTCGAAACGCCATCACCCTGGCGCCATTCGCCCCCTCAGCACGCATTACACCTTGGCGTTGGGGATTTTTCAACGAGGTTTACTTCTCTTTATGTTGTTGAGCCGTCCTTAGCTTCACCACTCATCCTCGACCTTACCGGCAAGGGTGATCCTGCCAGGAGCTTAAGCTCCCGCCGGTATCGCTCTCGGAATCACTGCGGCTACTGGTTCCCCCCACCAACGAAAAGGTCTCACGGCTCCTTGGGGGGAGTGGGTAGGGACAGTTCAGTTCAGTTCAGTTGTAATGTTGCCGGGGTAGCAACGGGTGAGACCAAGAACTGGTCTCACCCCTCCTTCCCAAGACTCCCCTAGGGGATGACTGCCGGCTACCTGTCTCTTGACTTAAACCGACAGTACACCCCAGAGAGAAATGGAAGATTTGGATACGCCAAATCAGCGCGCTAGAGCCATCTCCGTTATGTAACGGCATGTTCTCCTGCTACCATTTCATTATACCAATGGTGAGGCCGTCTGATAGAACAGACTACTGGCTCTGCAGTGTCAGTGCCCGAGCAGAAACGCTGCTCACCTGCCGAGGCAGGCAAGATATCCTCCCACTTGACCCATAGTGGGATTCTTCTTCACCTCCTCTACCATAGTCCGGTGGTGTTTTTTGGAAACCGCTGCCCCCTTGAGTCCAACCCAATTGATGAGGCATCAGGCCGTATGTACGGCCTGATGGGGCTATCCTCATCACCCCAGGTACCCATGTCAACAAGATTCCTCTTGTTACGTTTGATGGGTCAACGTCGCAAGAGGCTTTCGCCTGATTGCTACTCATGTTGACAAGAATCCTCTCGTCCCGTTGAATGATTGATCGTTCGAAGACTTTTACACGTTCCTCTACCTCGTTTACAGGAGAGGACCCGGCTTTACCAATGATGACTGACGATAGGATCGCTTGGGGCTACCCCCTCCCTGACGAACTAAGGCACAAGGTACACCAAAGTTCCAGTTTTCGCTGAGCAAGCCCAGCTACCCATGTCGACCAGAATCCTCCAGTCCCGTTTGATGGGTATCCGTTCGCGGCCTTTTACACGTTCCGCTACCATGACAAGAGTGGGGACCTCAAGCTTTCAACCAGCGGTGTCTGGAATCACCTGAGGCTACCCCCACCCCGACGCCGTGAGTACATGGTGGGCCCACGGCCGAGTGGGTAGGGACAGTGGGAATCTCGTTAATCCATTCATGCGCGTCACTAATTAGATGACGAGGCATTTGGCTATATCCTGCTCGAATATTACATTCATTCGAGGACTTTCCTATGTGTGCCGCGGTCGGCGTTGGACATGAACTTCATTTGGAAATGTAGGCTGTCGTAACCAAACTGGGAAACTCCCAGGTAACTTTTCGCCATACACAACTCGCACCCCACTATCTAACACTCTTGGTCAAAGAGAAACCATTCTCTGCCAAGACCCAGTTTACGGTCGGAATAAATTAGTCCGAACGAGTCTCATTGCTGGGAAACAGCTGTTAGCCCGTCACCTCCGAAGAGGTTCCGGTTTCCAGACAAGCTCCGTGGAAGCCGCTGCCAAGGTTTGACCGAAAAACATGGCCAGGAACCCTGCTCGCCGCCGTAGCACCGATACATGTAAAGGGCCGAACGACTCGCATGCTTATCAATGAAGTCACACTCCACTTAAACAACACCTTGTATAAACAATACAAACAGTAATTGAATAAATAAAATGTATGTATAAAATGAATAAATAAGTGTAAAAAGGATGAAACCGACATGAATGACTAGTATATTGACTAGAAGTTAGGTATGACTACCTATGGACAACACAATCAATAACATGAAACACCAATATCGTCGGCAGCTGTGAGACCAAGAGTTTTCATGCCCCCGTGAGTGGCGTCAATCATCACGGAGGCTGCCGAGCGTTCCGGCGGAGAGGCGCATTGTAGTCCATAAAATCATGATAGATTTCGATGGAACTACGTAGGGCAATAAGACTGATGGTCTTATATACCCCTTTAGTTGTGATGCCCAGCTTTTGCAATCCTTGGATTGTCTTTCTGGGCATCGCGCCTCTCGTTCCTACCACAATCGGTAGGACTTCGGCATCGGTCGACCCGAACCTTTGCCGGAATTGAGGTAGCAGTTGGCCATATTTTCGCATTTTATCGTTGTGTCCCATTGCGAGATTATTCCCATCTTCGTGGCGGACTGTGACGTCGACCACGAGGACCCTTCCCTGGCGTTGAATTACCAGGTTCGGTTTGAAATTCTCGCCACGGGGGGCCACCATTGTCGGTGGTTACACCGTTACCGCTACCTCTCGACCTTGCTTTTGCACTTCTTGCACGATGAGGTCGCAAATCTCATCATGCCTTCGGATTCTAGACGGCTTCGTGTATCTACACATGCCGAGGATGTGGCCCAAAGTCTCCAGCTAAGTGCCACATTGCCTACAATCTAGATCCGGTACTGGTACGATCCTATTCATCGCCACCCTGTTAGCGCATGCATTAGTCCTCATTCTCAGAGCGGTGATCATTCTGCCTGGCTTCAAGATCGTAGGATTTGAGAGCCAGGCATTGGCAGTAGAGTTGTCGGTGAATGTCGTCTTTTTTGTTTGACGTAGCTCTTCAGGTCCTGGTCCGTGACAGGCCAGTTAATACGTGAAGCTCGGGCAAGGCGCTTGAGACGACCTTCCAACATAGTGCCCAGAGCTGGAGCTTGCATTGCCGGGTCGGGGTTTTGCATGAATTTGCACCCGGCTTTCAGGGCTGCTGAGGTTAGTAGCCACTGTAACCTCGGTATACCTAGTCCCCCGTCTCTCTTTGCTGCATACAACAACCCGTTGGTTGTTGAATGAGGCAAATGGAAGATATCCTTACATCCTTATATCACTACACGCAGCTCCTGGTCTTGTTCTCTCGCAACGTTGAGCGATGGCAAAGCCATCGCTATTCTGTACATGTAGTGTGGGACTAGGTAAGTGGTGATCAATTCTACCTTCTGGTGTGGTTCCAACTTCAGCCGTCTGACTCGGCTGAGTGTTTAAGCAAGGTCAGCTTTTATGCCCTCGACAGATATCCCAAACCATGGCGATATCTTCACACCGAGGTAGACAAGGTGGTCACCAGCCCCCATTACTGGAACCCCTTCACCACTGTCGAATGCGAGTCCTGGGTCAGCTAAGAACCAGGAGTCTCTTGTTCTGCTTATTTGGAACGTAGCGCACTTGCTGGGCGATAGGCTCATCCCCAGGGCCCCCAAGTACGCTTCCGTTCTTCTTAGCTGTTCCCTGGCCTGTGGTACGTACTGCGCGACGAGCATCATGTCGTCGGCGAAGGCCAGGCAAGATATACTCGTATTCCCAATCAGCACCAAATATCTTAAAGACGTACATTTTACGACTTACTCACGTCTTTACGTCCAGGGACGTATAAAGTACGTCTTTAAGATGTAAATCCATGTACATCTTAAAGACGTACACGAATTTACGTCTTTAAGACGTACATTTTAGGTCGTATCCACGTCGTTCCTCCCATGTCGTATAAAAGACGTCTTAAAGACGTACATTCCAGTACGTCAATTCGACTTATAGAACAATAATGTAAGTTATTTTCTGAAGGAAAACAAAATGTCATCTCTTCACGTTTTTTATTTTCAATTGTTCAGTTTTTTCGTATTTTCAACAAAAGTGATGTTTTTGAATTTTTTCGTCCGACATTTTGGAGCCTTCGTGTTAGATTCTCGAATTTTTACAAAAAAAATAATATTTTCTGACCCCAAAAGTCCCATAGTGATCAATTTTGAATAAAATCGGACTATAATCACAAAACTCGTCCACCATTTTGAAGCCGACGTCTTGGATTTTTCATTTTCGACAAAAGGAATTATAATCTCTGATCTCGAAATCCTTCAGATGCCAATTTTGAATCAGATCAGACCATAATCAGAAAACCATATGCCACAACGTCCGCCATAATTGGATCCGCCATTCTGTTTTTTCCATTCAATAATAATATCATAACGAATTGTCACCGGAATAATATTTACTTGCCAAATTTCAAATCAACCGAACGATTTAAAGTGAGTCAAATTTAACTTGCACGTTTTGATTACAAACAGATACAAGGAAATGTTAAACTAAGTAAAAGCGTGTTACCTATGTGATATATAGAACAAACAGAGTAACAGAAGAAGTGAATATGGTATAATCATCGAAGTCAAGCAACAAAGAGCGCGGTTAGTAGTTGAATGGGTGACCGGTTGTGTCTACCGTTTGATGAAGTCGTTTATTTCCCTTTTTTCTTTTGCTTGTCTGCACTTGTTGCTAACTTCAGTGCACAGGTGAAAATCAACTGAAACTATGTGATTTTTCCGTAATTTGAAAGATCAATTTGAGGTCATGGACCAAAAACACCTAAAAAAGACGTCTTAAAGACGTACATATTAGTGGAAAATGTACGTTTTAAAGACGTCTTGAAGACGTCTCTTGGGCGTAATATGTATATGAATTAAATATTGTAAAGTTTCGGAGCATCGGCTGGGGATAGTCCTGCACGATTCGCTGTTGCGTTCCAATTAACAGTGCTGCTCCTAAAGTGGCGCATGGAGTTAGTAACAAAGCCTACACAGAACACGCAGAAAGATATGATGATGTGGTTGTGAGCATCAGAGAAGAAGTAGGACGGTGTATGTAGGTGGGTGTGGAAAACTACCAGCTGAGCGTGAGAGCGGGCCAGCTGCTTAAGTAGGCCTCGGTCTCGGGGGTTAACGATGATAGTTAGCAGGCCTGCCACTGCGCATATGGTAGTGAGTACATTACTAGCCTACGTGTATGTAGGTGGGTGTAGAAAACTACCAGCTGAGCGTGAGAGCGGGCCAGCTGCTTAAGTAGACCTCGGTCTCGGGGGTTAACGATGATAGTTAGCAGGCCTGCCACTGCGCATATGGTAGTGAGTACATTACTAGCCTACAAAACACAGCTGAAAAACTCTGAAAAGAGAGCTGATGGGCGGTGCCTGAAAAGGATGTTAGCCAGCTCTCTTGAGCGAACCACATCAGTCATTGAAAACACTTGGGGTTGGCAAAAAGGTCCCATTGGGGACTAGTTGCTGACGTGGAAACGTCCCCCACCAGTACCAGTACCAGTACCAGTAGGAGGTCACCTTGCTTGACCCCGCGCTGGAGGCGTATGTCGACTGACGCCTCATTTCCTCATTTCCACGTATCGTGGTATCCACATCCTGGTATGCGTCTTCCACTATCCGCTCCACTGGACGTGGAAGACCTTTCTTCAGTAACGATTGCTTGAGCAGCTCATGCGGGACAGTGTCAAAAGCTTAGGCAACGTCAAGCATCGTTACTACCATGCCCTGGTTGTCCTTGGCATGCCGCAGCACCTCGTCCAGGATGTGGATGTTATTAAATCATTAAAAATGTTTTCAACTGCTAAAGAGCGAATTTTAGGATTTTTAAGTACGTCAAAAGAATCATCTACAAGGAGAAAGTGTGCCATAGAAGACTTAGAAATGATAACACAGGCATTTACAGAACTGTTCACTAGATGCAAACTAAATGACGCTGAAACAAAATTTAAAGAAGTTCTGAACGAAATAAATGACAAAGTAGGTAAGCTCACAACTGGCAGGCCACAAGTGGCTCCAAGTCAACCCAGCTATGCCACCATAACAGCACAAGGAAAAACAAAGATACCCTTAGGCAAAGGCAAAATCGCAGAGCCATCAAAAGATGAGGTATTAATAATCTACCCAAAAGAAGGCAATAATAATTTAAAATCAAGCGAGGACACGATGGCAAAACTGAAAACACTGAAGCCACAGGATATAGGAATTAAACCTAGAATCTTGCTACCAACCAATGGTAATGGGGTTAAAATTATTACTTCACAGTCACAGTCAGCAATAGATCATGAGCTTTTAGATACAGCTGGACTTACAGCTAAGAAACTAGAAAAGTTCAAACCCAGAATTTCAATAACAGGAGTCCCGACGGACTGGTCAGCAGAAGTCTTAACAGACAAAATTAAAGAAGAATTGGAATTGGTAGGGGAAGACCAAAATGGGCTGAAACCTATATTTAAGTTTGGTAAAAGAGAACAATCTCATACCACTTGGGTAATTGAATGTTACTATCAAATAAGAAAAATTTTGATAGAGAAAGGCAAATTATATTTGGATTGGCAAGTATGCCATGTAAAAGATCATATAAGACTGGTCAGATGCTATAATTGTCAAAATTTTGGCCATTTAGCGTCAAAATGCCGCAATAATACCATATGTGGGTATTGTTCGGAAGAACATAACACCAGAGACTGTAAAAGCAGAGAGGATCCCGTATGTGTTAACTGCAAATTGAATAAGTATGAAAACGTGTGCCACGAAACCAAAGAACAAAATTGTCCAGTATATCTAAGACGACTGCAAAACCAAATAAACAACACAGATTATGGACCTCAATAACAGACATTGGCGAATCTGTCAGGCCAATCTACAAAATTCGAGGTGCGCAACCTCTGAATTAAGTCAATTAATTGACACATATGGAATCGATGTTATTGCTATTCAAGAACCATATAGCTACAAAGGAGAAAAAGGCAAATTTATAATACCTGGATTTGGTAAATATAAAATCATCATGCATGATAATGAAAAGCCTTTGGCGGCTGTTATAATAATAAATCCAGAATTTGATATTCTGGGCATTTCACAATATACTACAAAATTTATGGCTACAGCATACGTTAGAACAAAACGCTCAAAACTTATAATAAATAGCACATACTGCCCTCCAGCAGATGTACAACAATTTGAAACCAACTTAGAGGTTCTAAACAACATAAAAACTAAAAACATGGCAAACAAATATATAATTATGGGAGATTTCAATGCAAAATCAGTCACTTGGTACTCAGAAATAACAGACCAAAGAGGAATAGAGCTGGACGAGTGGTTGGTTAGAAATAACATGCTCACAGTTAACACACCAAGCCAACTTTATACTTTCGAAACTGCAAATGGTAAATCAAATATAGATCTGACCATCTGCTCGTCCAACTTATTGGGTGAAATAACAAACTGGAGCGTAAAAGAAGACGTTATTCAAAGTGACCATAGACTGATAAGCTATAAACTATTTGAGGAAACAGAAGATCCAATTGAAGAAGAGGAAGAAGTATACAACGTAAAGAAGTTGAATATTGAAGAATTAAGAAACAGAGCACAAACACTTGGTGCCACCTTAACGGGGCTACCCACGAATAATAAGACAGATATTGATCACTACATCGAGATACTCACCAATGAATTACTCGAAATAACAAAAACAGTTGCAAAAAAGAAAAAAGGAACAAATAGGCAGACAGATTGGTGGACCCAAGAACTTAGTCAACTAAAAACTGAAGTTGGAAGAAAAAATAAGATATACCGGACCTCTAAACATAGAGACCCAATTGAGACACAGAGAGAAAAACACGAAAACTATAGAACTGCTCTAAGATCTTACAAGAAGAAGATAAAGGCAGCCAAGCTAATATCCTGGTCAAACTTCGTAGAGGAAGATCTGGGGAAAAATCCCTGGGGCCTAACCTATAAGCTGGCGGCAAGTAAATTCAAAGCAAAAAGATATGATAAAACCGTTAAGAAACTAGATGGAGAATCCACAGAATCCCACTCAGAAACACTACTGGAAATAATGAATAGACTGATGCCAGACGATACTTTAGACACAGATAATGAATTGAATAACCTAACAAGAGAGGGATTACAGAATTATACTGGAGATTTGAACCAGGAATTCAACTTAATAGAGGAAGACCTGGATCAGGCGATAAAGGCAATAAAAGCCCTAAAAGCCCCTGGCCCAGATCAGATCCATGGTAAAATCTTGGCACTAAGCTATGAATTTATAAGCACAAATTTAAAAACTTTGTTCGATGCTTGTCTTAGAGAAGGTTACTTTCCTAAGGTTTGGAAAAAAGGAAGCCTAATCACAATATTGAAGGCCCCAGATAAAGATCAAACCGATCCAAAATCGTTAAGACCCATAACTCTACTGTCAGAACTGGGCAAAATGCTTGAACGTACATTAATAAATGGAATATGCAGATTTAGAAGTAGAAGAAACCTAATAAGTGCCAATCAGTTTGGATTTGACCCAGGCAAAAGTACACAGATGGCTATTAGGGAATTAATTAGGAATATAAAGACAGATAGTACTCATAGAGCCACTATTTTTGTGGATATCAGCGGTGCTTTCGATAACATGTGGTGGCCAGGCTTAATTGAATACCTACATAACATCAACCTACCAGCCAAAATAGTCAGCATTCTGAAGAATTATCTAACAGACAGAGAAGTTCATTATCGCTCAAAATATGAAAAAGTTACCAAAAGTTTAACAAAGGGATGCCCCCAGGGATCGGCCCTAGGTCCATTTCTGTGGAACCTCACGGTTGAGCCACTGCTAAGAAATAATTGGCCTCAAGGAGTTGAGATCGTCGCATATGCAGACGACATCGCAATAACTGTTACAGCAAACAATAGACTAAATCTAGAAATAAACATGAACCACAGCTTGAGAATATTAAACGAATGGGCACAAAGATATAAACTCGAAATATCGAGACAAAAAACCAAGTATATCGTCTTCTCGAAATTATCCAACAATAGAAATCCGGCAATAAGATTGAATGGCGTACCAGTAGCCAGAACAAGCTCCATTAAGTACCTTGGCATAATTATAGACGATAAACTTTCCTTTAAAGAACATATTGAATATATAATAGAGAAATGCAGAAATATATTCCAAATATTAAGAAAGCATGTATTCACCAAATGGGGCAAAATAGGACACTCCTTGAGTACAATTTACTCAAGAGCTATAATACCAATTTTGAGCTATGGTGTGGAATTCTGGTTCAAACAATTACTACATAAATCAACGGAACGTAAACTTAGAACATTACAGGCATTATGCTTAAGATGCGTAGTTGGTGCTTACAGGACAGTTCCAAGAGAGACATTATGCGTTTTAAGTAAGTTAATGCCAATACACCTTGAACTACAGCAACTAGAAGCATTCAGAAATTTAAAAACTACAGGAGAAGCAAAAGTACTTGGTGAAAGATTAATAGCTAATGAATTTAGATATTGGATAGCTATTAAACTGCATGTAAAAGCATTATTTAATAGAAGATGGCAGCAAGAATGGGATAACACTTCAAAAGGAAGGACAACGTATGCCTTAATCAAGAACTTAGAAGAATGGCTAGAAACCCCACATAATAGACCTGGAAAACTTGCAGTTTCTTTTCTCTCGGGACATGGAGAAATGAGAGTTCATCTCCATAGAATAGGAAAGAGCAGAAGTCCGGATTGTCTTATATGTGACACCCCGGACACGCCGGCCCACAGACTCATGGATTGTCCACAATATAATCAAGAAAGGCAAGAATTAGCAAACGAGACAGAGAATGGAGTTCTAGCAGAGGACCCCGAAACCCGATTAAAGGAAGTAGGACCAAATTTAGATAAGTTAGTCACTTTCATTAGGAACAGATTCTAATTATGTAAATAGATGTAATACTGATCATACGATTATTGTTAAATTTAAAATTTTATTAGATTTGTATTCATACTGTATTAATCAATTATGAATAAAGTTGAAGAGAAAAAAGCAGGAAAAAGAGAGATAACGGAGGATTAAATTTCGTAGAATGAAGTCAAACCGAAAGGTAGAACTTCATAGATATAGGAAAATCAACTTTAGTTAAGATTATTTGAATAAGTATTAGCAGTAGCCTGCCATCAGCAGGGGTGGAGGTGGGACCTCCTCCCTTTTCTCTCCTTTTTTTAATAATTGTTGCAAACCATGTTGTTTTTTTTTTTTCGCCGAGGTGGTTGAAATCTTTTATAGACATCATATGGGTCCAATCCCCCATACGATAGTGTGGGAGTCCCCTCCATGGTATACCCACTAAACACTCCACCCCGTTGTAGGCTCCGACGAAACTTAGGCCTAGTGGCCCATTGTATCTCACCTACATGCCGTTATCAATTTTACCACATACGACTCATGGTGCCTATTAAGGGCACTTCAATATGAAAGACCCTTTTCGTTCAGGTTCCTGAAGATTGCTCTTCCGATCCCTGTTCTCGTCTACGAAGAAGGCCAAAAGTTTTCCTTCTCCTACGAGTGACGGGGGAAGGGGTTGGTCCAGCCCTGTGGTGCCCCCTGCACAGGGGTAAGGCTGTTTACTCTGGGATGTCGCCCTGTTTCCCAGAGGCCCCGTTAGCGACACCATTCCTCGGTGCCATCCATCCATCGCCACGGGTTCCCACAGCTTGGATTAGGTTGCCAGAGCCTCGTTGACCAGTCCTCGACCACCTAGACAAACATCAGCAAATCGCCCCATCCCTGCCACAGATGTCCACAAATTGTCCCATCTGGCAGAGGATAGCAAAGATGGTCCCAAAATGCTTCATCTGTCAAGCGGCCGCGGCCTGCCTTCCCCACACCACTTGATGGTGAGGTTGGGCTTGGAGGGGAAGAGGAAAAGAGAAGTTGGCCAAGAAAGGCCGATAGAAAGATTGAAAACGGAGGAGAGAAGAGGATATCACCCAAGACAAGTCGAAGTATGGGGAATATCCGGCTAGGGTACCTCGGGTTCACCATTCCCGTACTCACAAGTTGTGAGCCCCTGAGGGGATTGCCAGAGCCTCGTTATCAATCCGCGGCCACATAAGCAGATGTTCACAAATTGCCCCATCCTCGCACTCAGATGTCCACAAAACTGTCCCATCTGAGTGATGACAGCAAAGATGTTCCCAAAATGCTCAATCTGCCGAGCAGCCGCGGCTTGTCCTCCCCGCACTATGGTGAGGTTGGGCTTTAGGGGAGAAGGAAAAGAGGAGAAGTGACCAAGGGAGGCCGATGAAGAAAAAGATTGGAAACTGAAGAGTGAAGAGGATACCATCAAAGACAAGTTGAAGATTAATGAGTATCCGGCTAGGGTACCTCGGGATTGCCATTCCCGTACTCACAAGTCGTGAGCCCCTGAGGGGGTTGCAAACCATGATCAGATTTAAAAATGAGTGGAGCACCTCGTAAACTGCTGGTCTTTTCGAGTCGCTGAGCTTGATATTGTCGGGACCAGCAGCCGTGGACCGGTTAATTCGCTTAATGCGTGCGACTATTTCTTCTTTTGTTATTTCAGGGAGGACCGCTCCCAAGTCCTTCTCTGGCTCATTCTGACCTAAGTCAGGGAGTTGTACGTCAGGTCTGTGTCCCCACAGCCTGTTGTACAGCTCCCGCACGTCCGCATCTGGGCAAGTGACGCCACTTTGCTCCAGCCAGTCCACGTTTGTGCGGACGTGCTTTGCAACCAGGGCAGGGTTTTCATGATATAAATCTTGGGTCCGAGCATAGAGGTAACGGCGTCGCTGACCCCTACCTCTACCTCCTTCCTGGTTCCTGCGTTGTCCAGGCACTTCTGCATTTTCGGTTTGGACTATGTCCTTAACCGCGCTGTAGGCAATGTCAATTTCAGCTTGTGAGAGATTGCCTGCCTCATCTTTAGCCCGCAGAAGTGCGTCTCGCAGGATACCCATCGCCGTGTCGACAGGGAGGGAGCGAACATGTCTTGGCATCTCCCGGCTCAGGACAGAGGTGACTATCCTTTGCCGCCAGGCACTTTCAACCTCATCGATCTGCGGCTCCTCGCCTGCTGCTGGCGGGACCACGACATCTTCGATCACTATCGAGTCATCGACTAGGGGAGCTACCTGCGTCGGAGCTGGCTGGACTTCGACATCAAGAGTTGCTGGAGGAGACGCGATTTCCTCCACGGCCGGCTCGTCGTCAGAGATGGAGATCGTCTCTAACTCGATTTCTGGCTGTGGTTCCGGAGTTTCCCCATGCTCCAACTCCTCAGCAACATTTTCTATCTGCGCTTCCTCTACGACTATTACGGGTGGAGATGCAGCACGCTCTTCCACCTCAGCCGCTTGAGGAAGCTCGTCCTGGCGACCATCGATTTCGCCAACTTGCTCCTGCTCAGCAGGTTCAGGCGCCCCACCGACTGCATCAAGATGGGCTGCCAAGATTTCATCTCTTGCGGTCTTATAAGAGGTGAGCCTCCTCTTATTTCGAATCTGCTCATTCGATTTCCCTGGCAGGTGGGGCTTCATCATTTTGGCGACGGATTTGTGACCGTAGTACGTTACCTCGCACTCCAGCATGACCTGCACTTCGTTTTCAGTGAAAACAGTGCCTGCCCGTGGAGCAAGTGGTCTCTCCGGCTGCTGAGCAGCCTCTGCCCTGGCCACATTCCGTCTCTCGGGGTGTTGCGTGACCTCATGTATCGAGAGGCCCCGCTGAGACCTGAAGCTCGCCCCACATTCCTCGCAAGGAAAGTCAAGCTGCACCAAGGCTTGTTCCCCTCGACACTTGCCGGCGTGCACCTGTATAGCATGTAGTTTTGGGCCACGCTGTTGCCTGCATAGTTTGCAAGCGTAGTTCACTTTAACGTGTGGGTGCTCCTTCCTCGAGTGAACTTTTACCTCTCCTAATGAGAGCATTAGGTAGGAAGTTTCTGTCAAGGTGCTGGAGACACCGTTGACAGGAGAATTGCTCGAAGGGCACCCAGATATCATATTCCGCGTCCATTGCCAGTTCGTCATCATTGGCCCCCAAGTTTAATGGGGCAGGCGGGGGGCCGTCCTCTGCCCCATCCGAGGCTTCGCCATCTGAGTTGTTAGCAGATTTCTATCCAACCATGGGCTTGCTAGGCCCATGGCCGGCGTTTCTCTGCGCCTACCATCAGAGCTTAACATCACGCGTCTGGGATCAGACGCGTGAGCATGCTATTTCTGCTTGGATATTATTTCATCCAAGGACTTTCCTATTTGTACCGCGGTCGGTTGTTCACATGAATATCATTGGGAGTGTAGGCTCACGATACCATACTGGGAAACTCTCCGGTATCTTTTTGCCTTACACTTCTCGCACCACACTATCTAACACTCTTGGTAGAAACCAGTGGCCTGCCAAGACCCAGTTTACGGCAGGAATAAATTAGTCAAAACGGGTCCTATTGCTAGGAAACAGCTGTTAGCCCGTCGCCCCCCGATGAGGGCTGCGGTTACCAGGGAAGCTCCGTGGAAGCCGCTGTCAAGGTTTGACCGAAAAGCATGGCCAGGAACCCTGCCCGCCGCCGTAGCACATCCCAGGGACGGCCGAACGACTCGCATGCTTGCCGCTGAAGTCACACTTCACTTGGACAGAACGTTGTATAAACAATACAAACAGATACTAAACAAATAAAGTGTACATATAAAATTAATAAATAAGTGTAAAAGGAATAAAAACAATGACTAGATTATGACTAGTCGGTTAGGTACTTGTACCTATGGACATTCATCAAAGACAGACACATAAATATCAGCGACAAGCAGCTAGATCGACCAAGAGTTTTCTAGCCCCCGTGAGTGGTGTCACTCCTCACGGTGGCTGCCGATCTGGTCGGCGGAGAGGCACGTCGTAGTCCATGAAATCGTGATAGATCTCAATGAAGCTGCGTAGGGCGATAAGACTAATAGTCTTGAGCACCCCTTTGTTCGTGATGCCCAGTTTAGACAATCCCTCGATAGTCCTCCTGGGCATCGCGCCTCTCGTTCCTACCACAATGGGTAGGACTTCGGCATCGGTCGCACCAAACCTATGCCGGAATTGAGGTAGCAGTTGGCTATATTTATGCAGTTTATCGTTATGTCCCATTGCGAGATTGTTCCCATCCTCATGGCGGACTGTGACGTCGACCACGAGGACCCTTCCCTGGCGTTGAATTACCAGGTCGGGTTTGAGATTCCCGCCACGGGGAGCCACGAATGTCGGTGGTTCCACCGTTTCTGCTACCTCTCGACCTTGCTTTTGTGCTTCTGTCACAATGAGGTCGCAAATCTCATTGTGCCTTCGGATCCTAGAGGCCTTTGTGTGCCTACAAAGGCCGAGGATGTGGCCCAAAGTCTCCAGCTGAGTGCCACATCTCCTACATGCTAGGTCCGGTACTGGTCCAGCGCGACTCATCGCCACCCTATTAGCGCATGAGTTAGTCCTCATTCGGAGGGCGGTGACCATTCTGCATGGCTTGAGCATCGTAGGATTCGCAAGCCATGCGTTGGCAGTAGTGTTGTCGGTGAAGGCCGCGACCGACTTGCCTTGAGAACTCAGGCTGGACCATCTTGCAAGCTCTGCACGTCTTTTTTTCTTGACGTAGTTCCGAATGTCCTGCTCGTTGACAGGCCAATTAATTCTGGCAGCGTGGGCTAAGCGCTTGAGACGTACTTCCAGCTTAGTCCCAGCTGCCAGAGCTTGCATTGCCGGGTCCGGGTTTTGCAAGAATCTGCACCCGGCTTTTAGGGCTGATGAGGTTAGGAGCCATTCTAACCTCGGAATCCCTAGTCCCCCGTCTCGCTTTGCGCTATACAACAACCCGTTGGTTGTTGATTGCGGCAAATGGAAGATTTCCCTTATCACTACACGTAGCTCCTGGTCTAGTTCTCGGGTTATATTCAGCGACGGTAAACCCATCGCTATTTTATACATGTAGTGCGGGACTAGGTAAGTGGTGATTAAGTCTACCTTCTGGTGTGGCTTCAACTTCAGTCGTCTGACTCGACTGAGTGTTGCTGCAAGGTCGGCTCTTAATCCCTCCAGTGATATCTCGTGCCATGGTGATATCTTCACACCAAGGTAGACAAGGTGGTCGCCAGGCCCCATAACTGGCACCCCTTCACCACTATCGAATGCGAGCCCTGGGTCAGCTAAGAACCAGGAGTCTCTTGTTTTGCAAATTTGAAACGTAGCGCACTTGCTGGGCGACAGGCTCATTCCCAGTGCCCCCAAGTACGCTTCCGTTTTTCTCAGCTGTTCTCTGGCCTGTGGTACATTTTTCGCGATGAGCATCATGTCATCCGCGAAGGCCAGGCAGGCAATGTTTGCTTCCCTGTTGATGTCATACCCAGGACTGCTTTCCAGCGCCTCAATCAATGGTTCTAGAGCCGCATTGAACAGAAAAGGGCTCATGGGGTCACCTTGCTTGACCCCGCGCTGGAGGCGTATATCGACCGACGCCTCTTTCCCACTTATAGTGGTATCCACATCCTGGTACGCATCTTCCACAATCCGCACCACTGGATTGGGAAGTCCTTTCTTCAGCAACGAATGCTTGAGCAGCTGGTGTGGGATGGTATCGAACGCCTTCGCCACATCAAGCATCGTTACCACCATGCCCTGGTTGTCTTTTGCATGCCGTAGCAGCTCGTCCAGGATGTGAATGTTGTTGAAGCAGCCGGCTTCGCTCACGAAGCCTTTCTGCCGAGGTGAGAACGAGACCCAAGCCCGAATCTTCTGGTCTAGTATACCGAAGTACAATCGACTCAGAAGCGAGGAGATGGTCAGCGGGCGATAATTTTCAGCCCGTCTGCCATCCTTTCCCTCCTTCGGGATTAGGGTCGTCCGATGTTTCCTCCACTCCATGGGTTGCTTGTTGCAAACCATGGTCAGATTAAGAAATGAGTGGAGCACCTCGTAAACTGCTGGCCGTTTGATTTCGCTCAGTTTGATGTTATCCGGGCCAGCAGCCGTGGACCGGTTAATTCGCTTGACACGAGCGATTATATCTTTCATTGTAATCTCAGAGAGGACCGTCCCCAACTCCTTCTCTGGTTCTTTCTGGCCTAGGTCTGGCAGCTGTACTTCAGGTCTGTGTCCCCACAGCCTGTTGTACAGCTCACTCACGTCTGGGCAGGTGACACCTCCTTGCTCCAGCCAGTCCACGTTATTGCGGACGTGCTTTGCAACCAGGGCAGTATTTTTGTGGTATAATTCTTGGGTCCGAGCGTAGAGGTATCGCCGGCGCTGGCCTCTACCTCTACCTCCTGCCTGGTTCCTGCGCCGTCCCTGCACTCCTTCTTCGTTGTCACGGACTATGTCCGTGACCGCCTTATAAGCCATGTCTATTTCGTGCTGCGAGAGGCGGCCATCCACCTCGCATGCTCGAAGGAGTGCACTACGCAGGATACCCAACGCCGTGTCGATGGGGGGGGGATCGAACATGCCTTGGAGTCTCACGGCCCAGAACAGAGGTAACTATTCCTTGCCGCCAGGCTCTTTCTGCCTCATCGACCTCGTGCTCCTCACCTGCTGCTGGTGCGAGCATGACGTTTTCGGCGACTACCGCGTCGTCGATCAGGGGTGCTACCTGTGTTGGAGCTGGCTGGGCTTCCACATCAGGAGTTGCTGGAGGAGTTGCGGTTTCCTCCCCAACCAGGTCGTCATCAGAGATGGAGATCGTCTCTGGTGCGACTTCTGGTTGGGGTTCCGGTGTTGCCCCTTGCACCGGCTCTTCAGCAACATTTACTAGCTCTGGTGCCTCCACGGCCTCTGGAGGTGGGGATGCAGCACGCTCCATCACCTCGACCGCTGGAGGCACCTCAGCCTGGCCTGCTTCCTCTTGTGCCTGCCCGGCAGGCTCTGGCGCCCCACCGACGGCTCCGAGATGAGCCGCTAAGTACTCGTCCCTGGCCGCCTTGTAAGAGGCTAGATTCCTTTTATCTCGAATCTGTTTGTTAGTTTTTTCGGGCAGGTGGGGCGTCATCTTATTGTCAATGTGCCTGTGGCCAAAATATGTAACCTCGCACTCCAACATGACTTGTACTTCATTCTGGCTGAACGCAGTACCTGCCTTTGGAGCGCGAGGCAACGCCGGCTGCCGAGCAGCCTCTGCTCTGGCCTCATTCCGCCGTTCGGGGTGCCTAATTCGATCGTGTGTGGAGAGACCTCTTTGGGTCTCAAAGCTCAGCCCACAATCCTCGCACGGAAATGGGTGCTGCACCAAGGCTTGTTCCCCACGACACTTGCCTGCGTGCACGGCAGCCGCCTGCTCCCTGTCGTGCACGCGTCTGCAATGTCTGCAGACATAGTCTACCTTCACGTTTGGGTGCTCTTTCTTTAGGTGGACTTTAACTTCGCCAAGCGCAAGCATTAGAAAATTCCTGTCAGTGTGCTGGAGACGCCGCTGACAGGAGAAAGCTTCAAAAGGCACCCTTATCTCATAGACCGAGTCCATCGCATGTTCGCCATCATTGGCCCCCAATAGTAATGGGGCAGGAGGGGGGCCATCCTCTGCCCCATCCGAGGCATCGCCGTCTGAGTTGTTAGCAAGCTTATATCCCACCATGGGCTTGCTAGGCCCATGGCAGGCTTTCCGCTGCCCTTGCCATAAGAGCTTTAACCTCACGCGTCCGGGGTCAGGCGCGCAAGGATGCTACCAGTCAGTTTCTCATCGCAGCCGCAGCACTGCGGCTAGTGATGGGGTTATCCAGCGGTACCAACGTGGAGGTCGGTAGCATAGACATCCGCACTTGCGACCAGCCTTGACTGTTCGTAAGGGCGGCTGCCGAGTAACATGAGAGCACCACACTTAAAACAACAAATGTTTTGGAAAGTGGAGTGCTCGCGCTTAGTGATAGATAAGGGGCCATCTCACGGCCCTAAGCCGCAAGACGACCCCTTTTAGCAAACACTCCAGCGCGTAGTGCGTTCAATCTCTTAAAAGAGTCATAGTTACTCCCGCCGTTTACCCGCGCTTGAT